TCTCTGTGAGAGAGATATTCTTTTCTAATCAGTCTTAACAGTAGTGCATAGATGTCTATGTTGTATAGTAAAGAAAAAACTGTAATAATAATATAGAGTTTGCCCTTAGCAATGAAATGAAAAAACTGTATGTATACGGAGAGAAAAAATATATATGTATGTATGTATATATACTTCAGAGCTGTGGCTGAAGAGCTCTGTTTGGAAGAGTGGAAAATTCTTGCGTTTATTCCACTGAGTCTTGCAAAGTAGCATCTTGCTGTCTGTGCGCTTGTATATGCACTTAATATTTCACTTTATTTACACATATTGAAACTAGAACTAATGTTGACAATGTGAGGGCTGCTTTAAAAAAAAAAAGTGTGGGGGGAAAAATTCTGTTCATACAGCTCTTTTACTATTTCTTATTCTTTCATAATCTGATATAGCTGAATCCCTCTCTTTCATTCATATGAAAACATGCAAAACCTTAGCTGAATTTTGTTGTTGACTATTATAGCATCTCTTTTGAAGTAAAAATTGTAACTGAAATCAGTAAAAAGTCTTTCAAAAAGTTCAGCATGTGTGCTAAGATATCATACATTATTTTTTTTAATGTACTTGAACACAGTTATGTCTGGCTTTCTTTAAAGCTTCTATCGGTGGGGAAAGAAAGGTGATGGACGGATCACTGTCCCACCTCATTTTTAGTATTTAACGTTTTAATGTTCATCATTTAAATGTAGGTTTGGGTGTACTTCTGAATCATATACTTTATAAAAAAAAAAAAAACCAGACATTGCTGTCCATCTCCAAATAGGTTTCCACCTTGTTTAAAGATTGGTGCTTTTATCCTTTATTCTTTAGAAAAGATCATTTTAATTACATTCTGCTTTCCAGATAAGCTGCTCTTCATTTTTAATTCAAGGGAACAAGAGGAGGTAGCACTGGGATATATTTGATCTCTCTGAAATATTTCAGTCTCTCTTTAAAAACTCACAGCACTGTAACTTTCTCTTGAAAGGCTGCTGTGACATTCAGATGTTTGTTGGCTGGACTTGAAAGTATGCTTTGGATACTGTTTAGAAAATCTAGTGCCCCTTAAGTGCAATACACAATAAAAGGAAGTAATGCTCAAGACCTATTGTGCGTGGATTGCTGCAAAATGCTTTTCTCTTAATGCTTTCAGCTTGCTGACCTGGAGAAAAGGTTGTTTCTACATCTTATTCCAGTTATCTAGGTGAGACTCTTCATTTCAGGTTCTTTTTGTTTTTACTTTGACCTGTTTTTACAGATTTTAATGCTGGCTGTTTAACACATGTGCAGTGAACAGCTGTACTACCGAGTTCCTGCAGATGTTATGGGCCAGTATGATTTTTTTTTTTAACTGCTTCTGTGATGTTCAGTCATTGAAGCCTTGATTTAGGAAAAAGAAATCATAGTCAGTCATGGATGTCTTCAAATGTCCTGACCTAGACCTAGGAAAAAACCAGTATGGTATTTTCTGGCACTCTCTGTACTGAGCTGTCTCGGATGGTTTTCTTCTGTGGCTCTTAAACACATCAGAGAAAGTTTGGAGCCATCCAGTCATTGCACATTCCAAGTTCCTTTTCATATCTACAACAATCCTGTTAATGCTACTTCTTTTAAAGCTCTTTGTTAGTAAATATCATCAGATAAAAGGCTACATCCTCTGGATTTCTGCTCCGTTAAATAAACACGGTATTATTAGCTGACTGACTTCTAAGCTCAATTTTACTGACTGAGGGTTTTAGTGGGCTGTTAACAGCTACAGGTATGGCTTTTTTGACTTCCTGATTTGGGGGTGTTTGTGTGTGTAATTTTGCTTATCAGATCACCTCTGTTTTTCTGATTCCTTCACGTATGAACTTGTGCTAAAGGAGAGCCACTTCTAACTGTACTTTGTTTATTATGAGTTCAAAATACCTATTAATCTGAAAGTAATTTTAGAAAATATATTCCACTGAAATAGTGGCCATGACACTACTATTTTGTATCTTTTATTTTTGTATAAGAATTTTATATACTTAAAATTCATAATTGAGTTTCTTTTAAAGATAAAATTTGAGAAGGACAAACCTTAAACAGACTTGCATCAGTGTGCTTATCTGGGAATTAAGGCCGACGTTAGGTCTGCATCGCAGTGTGTCTGGAGAGGGGAGTTAAACTGTAGTGGCAATCGTTCACGTGGGTACACTATGCCAGTGTTTGCAGGGCATAGATATCTTACTTTGTATAGGTTTCAGATGGGTTTAATGTTCTCCTTGCTCTGGAAAAGTGTTTTCTGTGGGGTGTCCTACACTTCTTTCTTGTTTCTCCCATCTCTACAATCAAATCATTGTAACATGGGTATATATGCAGGACTTTTTTTTTTTTTTTCTTTTTATGGCAGTTGCTATATAGTGTTGCCAAGTTTGTCAAGTCAGAAATGTAATCAATGCTTTACACCGCATTTTTTTTTTTAGTGACTGAGATTGAAAAGGGAATAAACAACAAAATCAACACTGCTGGTCAAGAGTTGCAATGAGGTGTTTCCCAGAGAAAGGAATAGTAACAGTAAAGCCAGGACTCGTTGGTCCTATTCTCTGTGCTGCTGCACAACATTGTGTTTTTGTCCCTCCCATACGCCCCACCAAAAAACCTTCAGTTTGGGGGGAATTAGAACTACAATGATTTAATCTTCACTCTCTAAAAGAAATGTTCTACTTCTTTTCCTTGCTAAGATAGAATGGAAACCATAAACTAATAGTAAATGTCAACTAACCGCTAGACTTGAAAGAGCCAGCAGCTGGCTTCTGCTTATGAAGCAGAGAAACTGTGTGGGAGGAGATGTAAAGAACCTCCTCAAATATCCACTCTAACAGAGGGGGGAGGGGGAGAGACTGTACTGAATATAGGTTTTAACCTTTAGAATTCTTTTGCTGTTATCTCATATTCTTAGACATATGAAAATGCAGAATGGTAATTGATTTGTTTCAGTTAAAGGCATCAGACAAAGGCCCCATGCCACCTAAGATTAATTTCTGATAAGAAATGGGGCACTTTGTTTGCCTGTATCAATTTTGTGTCTGTTAAAAAATTTATGGTATGAAACTCATAAACATTTTTGAAATGTATTTAATGAATAATTGTTTGCAAGGAGCTTGAGTGTGCCTCAAATCAGATGCAATGTTTCAATGCAGCAATATTAACAACATCGTTAGAGTAGTACCGAAATGGCAGTACTTAAAAAATGCATCTGCCACAAATCTGAAATGATGGTTTTGTTTTGAGTACAAATAAACATAGGGGAAATAGATTGGGTGATATTCATTCATGATGTATAAACTGAGATCAAAAATAGTCCACAGACTTACGCTAATATAAATTGAGACAAATTCTAGGTTTGCAATACTGTTTGACCTAAAAGCTGTCTAAGCAAGGCGACTAATGTTTCTTCTATTTCTAACAGGAAGTCTATATACTTACACCTGCTGTCAGGAAAAGACAAAAAGTTGGTTTGGGGTGTCTTTGTTGTTTAAGAAACTTATTTTTGCAATAATTCATAGATTTTTCATCACTTTCTGATATGGAAAAAATATACGGGCTCCTTAGTTCATGGCAAAACATCTTTCAACTTATTTTTTAAAGATTCAGGATAAAAAGTCTAGAAATTGAAGAAAGATAAACATTTCTTGTGAAAATAGTCAATTATAAGACACAACCAATGTATCTGAAAAATGAGGAGGCAATCTTCCTGATTTTTAATCAGAGAACTTTCTGAATCTAGAGGCTGATCTTACTGGTCAGATGAAACTGCTCTCAAGGAATGGTAAATATTGGTCGGTATGTGAAGACTGTTTTTACGTGTTTGATGAACAACTCTCATATACAAAAACAAAAACAAAAAAATTTAAAAAAAAGAGTAGAACTGTAACTCTGTTATTTCACCTGCTCTTTTAAAAGCGTCCTTTCTTGTTTGCTGACAACTCCCACTATGGAGCACTTGTCCACAGTCACAGGAATTACTATTAACTCCCCAAGACGGGGGTGGGAAATTAGAACTGGTGAGCAAGGGCTGGAAGGGTACCAGCTGGAGGATATTTGTGACAGATAAGAATAACAGGAAGAGAGAGAGAGAGAAAAAGAAATGGTCAGCACTTTTGGCTTTTTAAAAATGGGGTGCAGATGACTCGCTGTTATGTTTTTGCAATGCCTTGTTTCCAGACTGCTGGCTTAGCCACATCTTTAATTTGCCTGGTCTATAACAGCTGCTTCTGCTGCTACCACAGAAAAAGAAATTATAGTTTCCAAGCCTTCATTTCATCCTTCTTACCTATAATCCTCAAGTTCCAGTCTGTCTGACCACTTGACTAGGCTTTTGTAATTAGTAGGTCTTTTTGGGGGCCCTTAAATGTGTTTTGCATATACAGAAAACACTGAACAGCCTTGGAAACTCTTGATGAGATGAAAAACATCCTGCTGGGAATATAAAATGGCACATAGTGCCTAGAATAATGATTTTCATAATTGAGATTTTCATGTGCTGTATTAGGAGGCATCATTTACCTGAGGTCTTGTTCTCATGAAAATACAAGAAAAAACTGTTTAGCCATTTAAAAGTCATCTATTTAATTCAGTCTCTACCCTGTTTTTTTGATTTCTCTGAAGAAGGCTTATGGGTTTGGCACAAAATACACAAAAAGCCTGAGATGAAAACCAACATTCAAATATTTCGGTGTACTCTATGGTTCAGATGTACTTGATTTTCCCAAATGAGACAGGTGGAGTTTCATAATGATCTTTTCCTTGTACCTGAGACCACTGTGTTGCCTGATCATTTGGCTAGGGTGGCACATTGTTGATTAAGCGCTAATAAACAACATAATTTGGGAAGGTACTCTCTTCTGTGAAAGGTAATATCTCTCATTGCTGTAAGTATCTTAGTGTAATCAAAGAAAACAACTTGTTTTAGTCATTTACTAATTGTATGGCACAACCAACTAATCTCTGGGGTGTACCTTGGAGACCCGATAACACGTTTCATCAACTTCTGGGGAATCGACTTGGATGAAGTTGGTCAAATTGCCCTCAGTTCACTTCATTTGCTGGTCTGCAGCTCTGTGGTGATTTGTCTAGAAGACAAAGAAATAAAAGGTTTTGTGTGATAGCTTAGGATATGCTCAATAGATCAGCTGATAATTGGTCTTGACATTACCCAAAGAAAAATCGCTAGTGTCACTATAAAGGTCTACGTGGTTTTGTATTAATTCTTTTCTTTGGATTTTCAGGCAAAATATGTTGTGCTTCAAGTTAGCTCTGACTAAAATTACATTATTCAGAATATTAAACTGAGACACAATACTGTGAATAAGCCTTATATTTTCAATAATTTAAACACCATAAATACATATATCTATCGTATTTTGTTTCATGCTGTTTTGGTTTGCTGTTCTTGTAAGATTATTCAGACATCTAAAACAATGAAAAAAATCTCAGAAAATGAGCTCGAGGCTTATTTTTCAGTGCTGCAGATAAGTCTTTATAAGATCCTTCGCTGAAAATTCAAATATTAAACCTGAGTGCGTGAGTCTTTAATGTAGTTTTGAATTAAGTTTTTTCTTAAGGAAAAATAATTCCACTTAAATACTCATAGGTAATAATCTGATCTTTACTGGTACCATGTACCAATCCTGATGAAATCTGCAAAAATGGTGCAATTTTTCAGTAGGTCTGAAAATTGTTCTATCCTTAGCCTGCAATGTTCAAAGGCACCTGAGGAACTACATAAACGACTACCACCTAAAATGCAGTGAGTCAGGTGATGGGATTCCCAAAGCCTTCTAAATTCTTGGCATTCAAGATTGAAAATGCCAGGGCTCAAGTGACAAATATTTGAGTTGCTTGTTAAAGCCTCTTTATTAAATTGGAGTCATCTGAATAAGTTTAGTATCAAATAAGTATGGTATATTAAATCTAAAAAGGAATCTTTTCAAATCTGAATTTTTCAATGGTCTAAAGATTACTTTTTAAAGAGCTTCTAGTCTGCAAAATATTGTAATTATACAGCATACTCTTAAAAAGGCTGCTCTGTAGTATTAACCTTTATGCAATTTCATGGAAGACATTTTGAGAATTGTGGATCCATCTTGTTCAGCTACACCTTCTCCATTATTATTAATGGAGGCACTTGCAAGTTTGAATTCTTCAAATAATTTTGAAAAATCTCACATTTGTTATTTGTCTATTTTATAGGACATGAAAAAACCGCCGCCACCCCCCAGGGAATTAAAGCACAGGGCTTTAATTACATAGTGCCCACTAATGCTAATAAATTTCATGCTAAAGACCTACGCTGCACCACTGCCAACTAAAACATAAGTCTCCTTCCTTTTCAAACCCTGTGCCACGTATTGCCTGGACATGCGGTCATTAAAATGAACTCAGTTGCAACGACAGGAATTAGAAAAAGATGCAAGATTTCATTTTGACTTTCAACAGCTTTTCTAGGCTGAAATAATTCTAGGATTCAACCTTCAAGTAATCTTGAAAAACATTCAAATAGGAAGTGTTAGCTGAGTGAGGGAACCAGCCACTATATATGGGAAATCAAGTGATAATATTTTTTTAACTGCTGCAGTGTTTCCATTATCTGATATGACTTGAGTTTTATCTCAAAAGATTTTGTAATATTAGTCTGAAGAATAAGTTTACCAGCTGTATAAGAGAAAACAAGGAAGCATGTTTGTAACTCTTTATTCAGAAATTTTGTTGCTTATTTCATTCTTTGCTTTGTCTCACACCTAGTCAATCACTGCAGCCCTTCTTCCCCATCCGCCCCCCCCTTTTTTTTTTTTTTTTTTTTTTTTTTTAAAAATATCTTTCCTTTTGGTGTTCCTTTCGGAGTT